TTCTTAAGCTCTCCCTGCAGAAGACCTGGCTTTTGCTGACATAACAAGAAATGCCTGTGCTTTAGTGACCTATTGTTGCCCACGGACTCGACAGCCCACAGTCTGCTAAAAGCCAGCAGCCTCCTCTCCGTCACGACTGTCAGAGCAGCGATCTCTGGAGGCAGAGACGGTCGCTTCACTCCCACCGCTCTCCAGCTGCTGTTTTTCTCGACACTGCGCACAACAGACTGACTGCTGCTGAAGATGAAGATGAGCTATTAGCTGTGAAATCCTGCCTATTTTAGGACAAAAACAAGGCGTCTTACATCATGTGTCGCAGTGATGAAATGTGCAGCTTGCAGTGTGTCAGAGCATTAGGAGATAAATAAAGGTTTTGAATGAGTACAATCTTTCCTTTTGTTGTGTTCGTGGTCATGTGTCATTGTGTATGTGCGTCTGGCCTGATTGCAGATCTCGGACGCCCTTCAGCAGAAGTACACTACATCAGCGCTGTGGCGGTTCCTGAGTTTGGGCTACGCCCTCATGCTCTGTCCCTTCATCATCGTCCTGGGGGGCATGTTTTTCCTGGCCACCGCGCTCTATTTCCTGGATGACAAAGATAAAGCCGAGGCCCAGTAAGTGTTTTTGAATAACTCATCATTATTTATGTATTATTGAGTTGTTCATTCCTTAAATATTTCATACTTACTCGACGTGTCCTCTGCATTTCTGAGTCAGACCTCCACAAGTTCAAAACAAATCATCTTAGTTGCGAGAAGTTGAGGAGGTGTCAGCAATGCTTGTATTATTTATTGTCAGCAGAGATTTTTTATTTACGCTTGAGTTTGAGGCGAGCCAGGGACACGGCGCCCGAGCGATGCCAACACTGGTGCCAACCCGGAGGACCCAGAAAGGCCCCGAGCCAGCAGAAAGTCCCAGTCAGCTGAAAATGCTCCAGAGCTGTTGTAGCCATCAATTTGTTCTCACTAAGACGTTTACCAGCCTGTCCTACTCATACATTCATATTTTCCCTCCTTCAAACAGCAGCTCACAGCCTTAAAAGGCAAAAACACGCTCGTCCTTCTTCGGGCTTCTTATTTCCTCCTGACGACTTTTTTCCTGTTTTTTCATCACGCCGGCTTCTCCCCTGGTGCCAGCGTTCTAAGAAATGACTTCCTTCCTGCTGAAGATGACGGGCGTTTTTAGACAGGACGGCAGTCTGATGTCTGAAGTCTGTCTTCGCCCGATCGACTTAGTCACTCGTTGTTTCCCAGAGTTTCCAAACCCTGTTCGAGCTTTTTTTGTCCAGCTTGGTCAAAATAATCACCAGAGGAGAGTTTTAGTGTCGCTGCCATATTTGTAGTCCAAGCTGCCGTTCACGCTGTTGATGTTTCCTCTGTGAACTGTTAGTGTACGGTTTTAAAGAGCTCTTTTTAAAGACATCACTGCTGTGGCTACGAAGCCACGCTTGCCATTGTGCCAGTAATAGATACGAGGCTGTGGCCAAACATGCAACCACATTATTGCAGATTGCATAGCAGATGGCAAATGTTCACTCAAACTATGTCCAACCACAAGCCCTTAACTTTCACTGTTTAGGTCTAATGTTGCAGCATGTGCAGAGCTACACAGCCTGGAGGGTCGTCATCGTGTCCTCATACAAATACTTCACATGCTGTATGGAAGTTAGCACTGAGGTCACTTGATCAACGCCAGTACAGCGTTAAGTCTCCGTGTATAAAAGACTAAAATCTGTATTAATCAGTATGTAATAAATCCTTATGCTGCTGTCTGCAGTAACACGTGTGAGTATGCAGACGTCACACAGACACTGTGGTAGGAAGAACAGCATCCACACCCACAGCGTGCTCCTGTGGAAAGCTGAAGCATAAATAAACGTGAATCCACTCGATACAACAGCAAACGCAGCGTTCATACCTGCGCAAATATCCCATCAGACTGAAACAGCAGCAGCTCTTATGTAACAAACAGCGAACAGCACCTCGGGGACCGAGAAAGCTCACAACACGCACAACTTTGTCGAGCGAGGGTTGTTCCACGACTCGGCTATTTATAGATCCCATTCACACTATAAAGCCCCAATTTATACAGAGCGCCCCGCACCCCCGTCCTCCTCCTCTGAGTGTGTCCTCAGACACTCTGAGCTATTTATAAAAAGCTGAACAAGTAACTCTGCAGAGTGTGTGTCTAATTCCTGCCTTAAAGCTTGCTTTATTATTTCTAGGTTGTTAGCTTTTTGTGGCTGCAGGGTTGCCATTAATAGCTCCGGTTCATTGCACACACACACACACCCTTCTCGCACATTTATCCAGTCCACATTTACACTCGGTGATGTGTGACAGCAGATCTGTCTCAGCCGCCATGACTGTGAGCTTCGATCGAGCGCTTCCAGCAGGCAGGCGCTGCAGCTTGGTGAGAACAGGATGTGGACATGATGGAAATTAGGATGAAAATGTGAAGAAAAACTGACTATGTCATAAACATACAGTGAATTGTGTTTTTTAGCGAGATGCTAAAATGATTCTTCTTTCTTCAGGTGTAACCAGGCAACACAGCCCCCGTCTTCAGTCAAGGTATGACCAGGTAAATTGCCTTTTATCCTAAACACACTTTCAGCAGCAGCAGCAGTGACAGTCTCAGCTCATTGACTTTTACAGAGCTCCCGTCTCAGTACCTGGCAGCGCTTTTCATTGGGAGACACCTAAAACAAGGCCATACGTTAGCCTGAGGCCACGCAGAGCTTTACAGCAGTGCAGGTGATAAACACGAAGCCATTCGCCGTCTACTCGGGCGTTCTTTGAATTGTGGTTATTCGACCAACTACTTGGCATCTTATCAGGACCTGAGGTGCCTTTCCTATTTCCTGCCTTTATCACTCTCTCACACATGGTGCAAACCTCCCTAATTATTAACTCAGCAGAAACGCACACAATAACTGGCAGCAAACCAGCAGACTCTGCACAATGGGGGGGGGCACAAGAATAAACTTTGACTCCCTGATTAGGAAGACAAGAAAATCTGCCGTGACTTATTTGTAAAGGTTATCATGTACAGCTGAAAGGTCGGGCTTTTACTCTGTTCTTTGGAGCCCCGGCTGGGTTTAATTGACCTCTAAATATTTATCAAACTGCTTTATGTACACGAAACGGAAAAAACTGCCAATTGATGCTTGTAATTTTGGCTTTTTTTCACTACCCGCCAATAATAATCTGTCTGTGTGAGCCGAGGCCCCGTCTGCTGGTGTAACCAGGATAGACACACGAGAAAACAAAGGCGTTGGAGTTTTGACCGGATGGACAGAGTTCAGGTCAGGAAACAGTGTGATCATCGGCCAAAGTTGCAGCTGCCTGTAGTATTTGAGAGCAACGGTCGATTAGATGGAAAATTAGTCTGAGAGTGCGACTTCACACAGACGGTAGAAAGAATGATCGTCCTGAGAAAACCTGATTATCTGTATGCGTGTAGGAAAAGTTGTCCTCTGCTCATCCTGCGCATTTTACGAAATAAACATAGAAATTAAAATTCAAAGATTACAACTGACGAGACGCTACGCTGGTGGCACCGCTCAGTTCAGGTTTGCTCGTATATCACAGAGTCAGAAAAGTGTAAAAGCCTCCTTTGACGACAACAGAAACTGTGCAAACAACAGTGTAAATATTCACCTTGAGAATAAGAATGTTTTCAACAGTTAACACTGAAAGCTGCACCACCGTATGGCATAGCATGACTCACAGCAACCAAATGTTTACTGTGATGGATTACCTATTACAGGTGAGAGCTTGGCAAGTAGATTTGCATGGAGCACTGATGGATGGGAGGCACCGGCTGCCTCGAAGGCAGAAAATCAATCTCAAAATTTGCTTCAGAATATATTCTGCAGAAACATGGGGGCATAACATTTGTATTTAATGGGCTGCAAAATATCGAAACACCAGTGCTGTCCTGTACGTCCTGCAGTGTCATTCCCATTGGCAGGGTGAGATTAGCGTGCATAGCTAATGACAGGTGACACGAAAAGGCTCCGCCGCCGCCGCCGTGCATATTGTGTTTCAGTGCTCTCGGCCTGAGGGCCTCATCACTTCTCTGTCACACGCAGCAGCCAAAGCATTTCGTTCCTGCTGTCAAACGGTGCTAATTATAGAGAACAGTGATTACAGCTGCATGAGGTCAGAGTTGAGTCTGCCTGTGACATTTCTGCTCTGCAACCACATCGTTCCAACTAATTGATTCTCAACAGATTTGATGTGGAGGGTAATCCAGTCAATGGCAGGTAGCATTTCCTCCCTTGGGTCTGATTCAAGATCAATACAGAAAACTGATTACCTGCTCAGCGATGACACGTGTTCACGC